CATTGTAAAATAAGCAACATTACAACATAAACAAAGGAATCAACAAAAATTTAGTTTTAACACAAACTTACAAATATGTAGTAAATTATTCTAAATTATAAAATTAATCAAATTAATTTTCGGTCTCATAAATAAAAATTAATTACACGAATGCAGATCTTCAAAGAAATTCCACTCGACATGTAAAAATAATGTAACATTAACAAATAAGCAAAAAAATCATTAAACAATTTATTTTAATTATATTTATAATATAATTTTGTCATCAACCAACAGTGGAACAAAAAATGTTTTTAAAACTTGATTTTTTTATTTAACATAACCTCACTTTTTCGAGTTTCTTCTGGCTTTGAAGCTTCATAATTAAATATTAATTATGTTTCAACTAAATGTTTTTTTAGAAATGTGTTGAGGAGTAAATTGTCGAAAGGTATAGAAACTGATTTTATTTTGCAATGAGGAAAACAAAAGTTATTTAAAAAATACTGAAACCGTAGAGGGAATCCCTCCCTAGGTGTGTGACGGAGGGTTAACTTTAATCCATTTTTTTTATTTATTATTTGAGATGAAATTTTACTCAAGACAAAAACAAACATGAACGTATACAATGAATAAAAAATATAATATTAAATAAAAATTTAAAAGTTTTAAACTTTTTTAAAAATTTTTAAACTAAGGCAAGCTTTGCCGGCTACTTATTAAAAACATTTTCACTTTTTAAACAATATGCTCTTTTTACAACATTAAAATAGTTTTTAATGTTAATACTTTTTTTACTTTCACATTTTTTTATAAAATTTAGTTGAGATTTCTAACCGATTTCAACACAACAAATACAATAATGAATGAGGTAACGAATATTGCTGACGAGTAGTGAGTACTGCGCCATCTCGAGGAACTTTTTTGCACATTAAAGTGCAAACCACTAAGCTGACTACTTTCTGGGAAAGACGGACAGGGGTGGCATATAATATATTTGACAAGCGTGGAAAAATTGAGGTTATGTTTAATCAAAACAACGCATTTCATTCTTTTTAAAGTTTTAGGATATCAGAATATCAATATCCTGATTTAACTTTTTTTTTATGACTGCTAAAAACTTCTCTGATAATGAAAAACATTTTTATTTTTTTATTTAAAAAAATATTTATTTAATTAAAATTCAATCCCGTAAACAATAAAAGATAAAGTATAGGTATCTCTGGGAAAAAGTTGCGCAATTAAATGATCTTTCAAACAAGCCATCGAAAAATAAAATCGGTTGATTCGTTTAGTCACAAGAGTAAAAAAACCGTAGGTATGGCCGGTTTGCCCCACTCTCCCCTAATATTTAATTTTTAATTTCCCAAAAATCGGTCCGTTTTATTTGAAAATAAATTATTGCAAACGAAAACTGAGGTTTTTTCCAACTTAGGAAATTTCACGTAAAATGCCTCATATATGCTACTTCAATAGATGAAACAAAATGTCAAATCGAAAAACAATTAACTAAGAAGATGATAATTTTTTTAGAAAAAGCACATTGAAAATACAGTAAACATGTTTAAAAATATTTACCTACTACAGGTAATGTTTTAGCTCATTTCGTTTTTGTATGTAGAAAAAGTATTTTCTCTTAATGGTTATTTTGTATATGAAATGATTCACATTAAACAACAGGTCACTTCTGTGTCTGCAAAACATTATTTATTACATATATTAAAAATTAACTTAGCTTAATTTGTCTTTTATGATACGCAGTACGGAATAAGCATTTTCTTGCATTGAAGGTTGAATAAGAATTTTATTTCAGGAATTTTTAGGCAGCTTCTTATTGCTTTTCATTTTGAGTTAGCATTATAATCCTAACATATTGGGTCAAAATAAGTGAAACCGGCCACTTGAAAAATTTTTGTCCCCGAATTTAAAGTTATCTATGGTTTTTGATAGATATATGAGTAAACTTTTACCCGCTAAAATATTTTTCAAAAATTTTATTTATTTTGAAAGTTATCAGGTGTTAAACTTTTAGGTTACTTTTTATTCTTTTCATTATTACTCCGAAACGAATGAAGATAATTTCAATTTTTTTTTTGGAAATTAAAGCTAAAAGTCTGTAGTTTAAAGTGCAACTGAAAAAATTGCTGTATAATAAAAATTTCTAATTGTTATTAACAATTATTTTAAACAATTGCGATTTAAAGTATGTTCTCAATGTCGGAAAAAAATCAAACTATACTCATGTGATGCGCAAAACTCTAACGAGTAAATTAAAAAAAAAAAGTGAGTAACCTCTAAAATTACAGAAGTTATGCATATTTTTCTGACGACGCGCGGGAATTAACTGATTCGCAAACTCTCGAGCGCGCGGGAATACGCCCGCGCCCGCTCCCGCCGCACTGCTCACACTTGTGTTTTCAAACAATTTATGTTTACAGAGAAGGAGAAGTAATTAAAATATTATTTTCTTACTGAATAGTTTATTAATATTTTTACTTTTGGAGTAATTATATACATAAAAACCATTTTGTATGTACTCATAAACTGCTTTGCAGTTTTTATGCTTTGATAAAAAACTTTTTTCGTGGGTCTGATATTCTTGAATCGTACAAAAATCGAAATCGATATTGTTTGTGTAGAATTTCATCAAAAAATTTTTTAAATAATTGGATTTCTAAATAAAATAATTGAATCATTTGTCACTTCTCCAAAATTCAATTTTTATTAGTGTTTTAAGGTAAAGGTCCCAATTATGGGACAATTTACAATTTTGTCCCTATTATGAGACAGTATTACAAAAAATAAAATAAATGCAATTAAAATTGGTCATAAGAAATTTCTACTTATTTCAAAAAATTTTACACGTTAAAAGAATAATTATTTGTGTATAGCATTTAATTTAATAAGAAATGTTTATTTGCATTTTAGCTTTTAAATTAAGGTAAGCCAAGTTTTTCGTCAGACTACCGTCCCACATTAGGTGCACTTATTATTTGCTATCCCTATTATGAGACACACAGGAAATATACAGCAAACATAACCTCAAATATTTTCAGTTTTTTCGCATTAATTTTCTACCAGAAAAATTAGTTTTATAATTATTTTTTAAACCAGAATTTGTTTATTGTATTTTATTCTTTATAATTAATATTCAAATTATTAGGATAAGTCAATAGAATTCTAATTACTTATTGAATTAAATAAATGTCTCATAATAGGAAAATTCATTATGGGACACCCGTACATAAAGAAATCATAGTCCCATAATTAGTGCAGTGCAGAGTTTCATAATTTAATTAATATTATTTTTATTTCATGAAAAATAACCATTTTAGGGTCTAAATATTATTCATAACATATCAATCTTTCAATCTATACCCTAATTATTCATATTAACACTCCCGATTCCAAGAAATTTATCATAGAAATTTAGTTTAGCTTAAACAGCGTCCCATAATTGGTACTTTTACCTTAACTGAAATTTCTTCTATAAATTCGCTATTTTTAATAATTTATTATTTCTTAAAATTGTATTCCCATAAAGAATTTTATTAACAAATTTTTAAATAATTGAATTCTTTGAAAGAGTTTTAATAAAATGTTTAAGAATAATAATTATTAAAAAAAAAATAAAATAAAAAATAAAATAAAAAATAAAAATAAAAAATAAAAAAATAAATAAAATAATAAATAAAAAATAATAATAATAAATAATAATAATAATAATAATAATAATAAATAAATAAAATGTTTAAGAATAATAATTATTCTTAAACATTTTATTAAAACTCGTTCAAAGAATTCAATTATTTAAAAATTTGTTAATAAAATTCTTTATGGGAATACAATTTTAAGAAATAATAAATTATTAAAAATAGCGAATTTATAGAAGAAATTTCAGTTAAAACACTAATAAAAATTGAATTTTGGAGAAGTGACAAATGATTCAATTATTTTATTTAGAAATCCAATTATTTAAAAAATTTTTTGATGAAATTCTACACAAACAATATCGATTTCGATTTTTGTACGATTCAAGAATATCAGACCCACGAAAAAAGTTTTTTATCAAAGCATAAAAACTGCAAAGCAGTTTATGAGTACATACAAAATGGTTTTTATGTATATAATTACTCCAAAAGTAAAAATATTAATAAACTATTCAGTAAGAAAATAATATTTTAATTACTTCTCCTTCTCTGTAAACATAAATTGTTTGAAAACACAAGTGTGAGCAGTGCGGCGGGAGCGGGCGCGGGCGTATTCCCGCGCGCTCGAGAGTTTGCGAATCAGTTAATTCCCGCGCGTCGTCAGAAAAATATGCATAACTTCTGTAATTTTAGAGGTTACTCACTTTTTTTTTTTAATTTACTCGTTAGAGTTTTGCGCATCACATGAGTATAGTTTGATTTTTTTCCGACATTGAGAACATACTTTAAATCGCAATTGTTTAAAATAATTGTTAATAACAATTAGAAATTTTTATTATACAGCAATTTTTTCAGTTGCACTTTAAACTACAGACTTTTAGCTTTAATTTCCAAAAAAAAAATTGAAATTATCTTCATTCGTTTCGGAGTAATAATGAAAAGAATAAAAAGTAACCTAAAAGTTTAACACCTGATAACTTTCAAAATAAATAAAATTTTTGAAAAATATTTTAGCGGGTAAAAGTTTACTCATATATCTATCAAAAACCATAGATAACTTTAAATTCGGGGACAAAAATTTTTCAAGTGGCCGGTTTCACTTATTTTGACCCTATTGCATTGGACTTTGAAAAAGCATTTTATGAACGAGAGGCGTTGAAATATTTAACTTTAAAATTTAATTTCCAAAATAAAGTTGGTTCTGATCACTGCGTGCCAGTTTCAGCTTCATAATAACTTAAACAGTTTTTCTTTTAATGCTATAAAATATGAAACCAATATTCATAACTAATTACTTTTAACTGTAACTGGGCCCAACATTTCATGAATATCATTGAAAAATTAAGGTCATTTGATGTTATTTCTTTTCAGTTAGCTGGTCTGGACTTGCAGGACTCCCGCCAAGCCAGTGGGGGTCGATACGTGCCACCTCATCTACGCAATAAACCTGCTTCAAGTTAGTATAAGTTTTTTTTAATACGGCGGAATACTTACTAAGTGTATTGTAGTAAGATTTTTATTTAATCAGCTCCAGACCTCCCTTTATGCAATTACCTCTTATTTTCCCCATAGCGATGGGTTAGTCTATTTAATACTTCTCTCTTATTTTATTTTAACATTACGATTAAGAATTTACATTCAACACCGACTTTCAATTCTCACTTCCGTCTTATTTATGCAGACAATTTAATTTTAGACAATTAATTTAGACAAGAAAAGACGCTTGTTAGCTTTCAGTATTGAGTGAGGTGAAAAAGCGCCCTTCGGTTTTATGTTTCCTAAGTTTGATTGAAAACATGCATGCAATAAGAATACAAAATTGTACAATTCAATTCCTAATCGTGCCCACAGATAACGCACAGCTAGGTGGTAATCCGTCTCCTAATAACGGAAGACCATCGTACGGCGGAGATCGAGACCGTGGCGGAGATCGCGGCAGAAGTGGCAGCGGAGGAAACAGTTTCAGAGATTCGCGTCCCGGTCGCGACGTTGATTTTGGCAATTTTGGAAGCCGGAATAGAAGAGGACCTCAGGAGAACGGACGGGACTATCGCTACCCAAATAACGATCGCGGAGGCGAGCGTCCGGCCAATTCTGGAAATGACCGTTGGCAGGAGCAGCCTCGAAATGATCGCTGGCCAGACAGGAACGATCAGCGAATGGGAGGCTCTGGCGGCAGGTGGAAGGACGAGAGAGAGGGCGGCAACAAAGGTGGACGTTCAGAAATCGACTGGACAGTTCCGACAGCTCGTGATGAGCGTTTGGAGGAGGAACTGTTCGGCACTGGCAACACTGGAATCAATTTTAGTAAATATGAGGATATTCCTGTTGAAGCCACAGGAGAAAACATACCAACAAACATTACATCTGTAAGTTGTCATAGTAACATGGCTTTGCTTTTAGTTTTAGTTTTATAAAAAAAATGTTCTTCATATAACAAAAGTAATTTTTGCAGTTTGATGAAGTTAAGCTGACAAAGATAATAAAGAACAGCATTCAATTAGCTGGTTACGATAAGCCTACGCCAGTTCAGAAGTATGCAATTCCAATTATAATTGCACGGCGCGATGTCATGGCCTGTGCCCAAACAGGATCCGGTAAAACAGCGGCCTTCCTGGTACCAATTTTAAATCAAATTTACGAAAGCGGTCAACCACCGGTTCCCCCTCAAATTTCTGGACGACGAAAACAATATCCTTTGGGTCTTGTTCTGGCTCCCACTAGAGAATTAGCTACACAAATTCACGATGAGGCTCGTAAATTCGCCTACAGATCACGAATGCGCCCTGCTGTTGTCTATGGTGGAGCCAACATCGTCGATCAAATGCGTGAGTTGGATCGCGGCTGTCATCTGTTGGTGGCGACTCCTGGTCGCTTAGTGGATATGCTTACTCGGGGCAAGATTGGACTGCAACATTGTCGGTAAGATATTATTATTATTATTATTATTCATTATGAGCATGTGTTTGCTCTGGTTTGTTTAATAAATTGTTTCGATAGTCATTGGAAACTTTCTGTGCAGATATCTGGTTCTTGATGAAGCAGATCGTATGCTTGACATGGGTTTCGAACCTCAAATTAGGCGCATAGTTGAAGAAGACAACATGCCTCCTACCGGAGACAGACAGACTCTCATGTTCTCAGCTACTTTTCCGAAGGAGATTCAAATATTAGCTAGAGACTTTTTGAGTAACTACATATTTTTAGCTGTTGGACGAGTGGGATCCACTTCTGAAAATATCACCCAGAAAATCGTCTGGGTCGAGGAGCATGAAAAGCGATCCCATTTACTTGATCTGCTTGAAGCTGAGAATCATCATACACCTTGTAAGTGAACATTCGCTCTTATTAATATTGCTCACAAGAAGTGAGTAATATGTTGGTGTCTTCAATCTATCTAATCTGCAATAATACTTTCTAGCTTCAGAGGCCTTAACTCTTGTTTTCGTGGAGACCAAGAAAGGCGCAGATACGCTAGAAGAATTTCTATTTCAAGTTGGATTTCCTGTGACTAGTATTCACGGTGACAGGACTCAGCGGGAGCGAGAGGACGCCCTTCGTCGCTTCCGTGCTGGCAAAACTCCAATCTTGGTTGCAACTGCGGTTGCTGCTCGTGGTCTCGATATTCCACACGTCACTCATGTTATAAATTTCGATCTACCTGGAGATGTGGAAGAATATGTTCATCGAATCGGACGTACTGGACGCATGGGGAATTTAGGTTGGTGGCTAGATAGAGAAAGACTTTGCCAAAGAAAACAAATAACTGACACTTTAATCTTTCTTTTCAACAATAGGTTTAGCTACATCATTCTTCAATAACAAGAATCACAATCTTGTACGCGATTTGGTATCTCTTTTAATCGAAGCTAACCAAGAACTGCCACAGTGGCTTGATGATATGTGTTCGGAGGCTAGACACACTGGAGGAAATTCTCGTCGCCCAGGGAATACAAAGAGTAGTCGTTTCAGTGGCGGGTTCGGTGCAAGAGATTATCGTCAGCAAGGGGGTAATAGTGGACCACCTCGCAGTAATGGTCCCTCTAGTAGGCCTGGTGGTTATGGAGGTAACTGTACTTCACTATTTTTTCCATAAGCTCTGAAAATTATCATTTCAAATCATCAGGCTTCACAGTCTGACCCCTTTAGTATTTTTTAGTATTTTGGTCAAGTCAAATCTCAATTATGTCTAGAGGTTTGTTGTTTTTTTAATATTATTTCATTATTACAAAAGTTTTAATGCAATTATCTTGATAAATAACAAAATTATTCACAGAAATTCAATAATTTTTAGGAATTTTAATAAAATTCTTTACAAAATTCAATTATTTTCATAAGTTACAATATTCATCCCAAGAATTCAATTATTTTCAAAAATTTTTAAAAATTCTCGTCAAGAATTAAATTGTTTTTATAAATAGAAAGGAAAAATTCTTCTGAAGAATTAAATTATTGACAAAATTTTTTTAAAAATTCTAATACATAATTAGAATAATGATTTTGTCAGTTGATCATCTTTAATTATTATAAAACATAAAGAAATGGATCTTCGACTCGAAGTGATCCTTTCCTTATGTTTTATAATAATATTCTTATGAGTTGTTCAATTTGAAAAGGTTTGAATTTGAAATTTTTCAACATCTTAATTCCAATGAAGAAAAATGATTAAATATTTATTTAGAAAAGAAGTTGTTGATGTTTTTGAATAATTTGACTTTTGAAGAAATTTGTAAATAAATTTATAAAACATTTTTTTGAGTATCTAATAATTTTGAGAGTGAATCAGAATATTCTTTAGGGTCAGGAAAAAAGTTAAAGTTGTGTTTGGAAATCAGGGAAAAGTCAGGGAAAAATAAAATTAATTTTTTGTGGCAACCGTGTATAAATAAATTCTACTTTTTATCTTTATTTAGCTAATTGTTATGGTCTCCTAAAAGTCCCCTATTTTTTTAATTTTCAGTCCCCTATTTCCCATAAAATACTTTTTAGGGGCACTGTGAAGCCTGCCCTCTGCAAAAGTCCTTTTCTTTTATTTTTTCTTGTAAAGTTTTGTCTTAATCTATTTTCTTTTCCCATAAGTAAATATCAACTTGAGCCTAATGCAAAAATTAATGTGTACACCGTGACTATTATCCACATCAGTTAAAGTTAAAGTTAAGTGAAAGTTGGATCGATTGGGGCTAAGACTATTTAGAAAATTTTCTGATTTGTACAAGTTTTTGAATTCAAAGTATTTTGATTCTGAATTTCATGAGTTTTTCTTCAGTATTTAGTAATCTCTTGTAAAATTTGGTTTTCTTATCTAAGAAGCAAGTAGGTACACGTACATTGAGTGTTTTGTTTACATTTTGGTTAAATACTTTCTTAAAAAAGTCATTGCGAGAAAAGGTCGAATATATAAAAATTCGCATATACTTCAGAGATGGAGATGCAGTTAATGTTGAATGGAAAAACGGAAGCAACAAAGACGTTTATAAAAGCTTTGGTAGTTAGTTCCCTTAAGCTAGAGTCGGCTCGAAAAACGAAAAAATTCTATCTTCGACCATATGTAGAAAAAAATGCCACACTGTCGTTGGCGACAGACGTAGATGTATGCGCGGAGCTTCAACTTTCCAAACGACAACGAAAGACAAAAAAAATGAGGTCGAGGAAATATTAAATGATTATTTTATGAATCGTGAATGAAACCCCCCGTCAGAACTGCTTCCCTTACCCTTTGACCATTTGGCGGGTTTTCTTGGAAATGAATTGAATTCCTTTCCATCGTGATGTACAGTTTGCAGTGGCGCTGTTTTACTGTGCGTGCCCATTGAATTAGTGTGGTAACACTGCACTGGAATTCCTTATGTCCAGTCCTTCCTTCGATACAGTAAAATTCATTGACATGCACTGCTTTTAATGAGACACTTTACACCAGAGAGGGAGAAAGCAGAATACACGCGCGTATAGGCCAACGCAGAATAGGTTCGCGAACGTGGAGAATGAGTTAGAAAAAGATACAAATATATTTCTATCCTTTTCCAACTCATGTTTTGCGTTCGCGAATGACGTTCGGAGCGAAAACTTGGCATGTAAAATCGTGTGTATTCGCTATTCGGCTCCCTCCCTCCGTGGTGTAAAGATCGGCCATCGCAACATAATTAATTATTTTTCGACTGTGGCACAAACCACTTGCACTGCGTACAGCAGCCTCACCGTTAGATAGAGCTGCTCAAACTCAAACTCAAACGCCATAAACACATTAAATCAAGATGTCTATTGTATTGGTAAAAATCGCCTTATTTTTCAGGTGAAACAAATGTCTAATAAGCAAATATGTTAAAAATACTTTTTTGTTGTTGCCTAGGTGGTTATGGAGGCGGTTACGGTGGTAATTATAACAATTCATCGTATAACAATTCAAGTAACAACGGCAGCAATAATTCTCATGACTGGTGGGATAAGTAAAGAGTTTATTGGAATTCGTGCGGCAACTGTTACTATCATTATTGCTATTTCGCAAGCAAATTTAATTATAACTGAGAAAGACAAACAAAATAGTTGATGCAACGGTACACATGAGTGGAAATATTCTACGCTGGAGGTCGTAGTCAATGTCTTCTAATAGAAAATATTTTTAACACCTACACACACTTGAAAATTTCGGCTGATACGTAAATTCATTTGAAGCTCATGCTGCGAAATTTTTGCGTTACTCAAACTCTTGAACAAACCGAATGTTAAGTACCGCTTGAATTTGTTCAACTTGTTTCGAAATTTCGATACTGCGATTAACTGTGCCGATTGAATGCATGTAGAGTAAATTATAATTTATCAATAATGAGTGAAAATTGGTTGATCGTTGCTGCTATTTCGGTCATGAATAACAAACACACAATAGGTGAATATTTAGCAATATGTCTAGAACTCCTGTCGCGTCGGGACATTTAGGCTCGTTATGACTTCACTATGTAACATTTAGGGACGTTGGCTTCGCGTTTTTCTAACTCAGGTGATCAATGATTTCAATCGATTGGAAATAACAAAATTGAACTTTAATTGCGGACATGTGTCAGCTGAATTGAAAACACGCAGACCGACGTCGCCTAAATAGTAATTTATGTTAATCTTTCTTTTTCTTCAAATTATTATTCAACGACGAATGGTACGTTGTTCTTTTGTCGTTTACCGATGCCGATTAGGTTGCGCAGGTAACTCCACATGGAGGGACCTCGCAGTAACAAGAATCAATGCGAAAATTGCAATTACTTTTCCAAATTCATTAAACCCCTTTTTGAAAAAGGCCAATTTTTAAAAAGTAAATGAAGATGTAAAATGTCCTGATGACTTTCAAGCTCTAAACACTGAAATTGTCGTTTTTAAGAATAATATGAACGTTATTACTAATAATATTTACAACAGTGATGCATGTAGAATAGTCAAAATTAAAGAAACAAACAAAGGTAAAAAAGAAAAAAGAATGGGTAATAAAAAGAAATTATATACAAGGTTGCAGTTACAGAAGGAGTAGAACAAAATGAAAATAATGCACTCAGTCGGTGATTTTGAACTCTTAACAATTCGAGCCCTTTAAACCGGTCAAGCACCAATGCATATTTGTATGATATTTTCTAATCATTGATCCGTAATATATATGTGTGCATTATAATACTGATCAGTTATATACATAACGTTAAAGTAATTTAAAGAAGTAGGAGGAGGAGAAGAAGAAAAACACGACTGTGATATTGAACGATCTTGTGACATTCAATTTCCACGCGAGTTAATAAACGAAGAATTCTCAAACTGCAATTATAAAATTAATCATTTAGTTAATTTATTTATGGGTTTTGAATGTCGGGAAGAATTAGCTCACTTCTCTATGGAGCTGAACACGAAATATAAGTCGTTGCAATGTGTACTACAAGAACAAAATGTGGCTGTTGTCCGAGAAGGGAGGGCTGAACAATAGCTGTTGTAGTCCTTAAAATCATATTTTTCCGGGCATTATTTTCACTTAAATGCCAACCAGAATGACTTTTTTAAAGTTTTTAAAAGTAGCTTGTTCTGGACCTACATTGGAAACGAAGCTCATTAATGATGGACGACAATGCTCGCAGGCGTCATTGTCGCAATTGTTAATGGCGTCTTCACAAAGCAACGGTAATGCTAATGCTTTATGGGATTGTTCATAAAAGCATCGAGTTCTTATATCTGTAATCTACGCGAAAATTAAAAGTACAAATTCGATTTGCGTGACAACTGATAGAATTTTTAGACTTGTCACAACTTATAAGTATTATATTATTAGATTTATATAGTACCATCGAGTGTATGATACTTGGAATGTCGTGTGTCGTATGCTAGTGGACCAAGGTGTGAATGCTTTTCGATTGAGACTATTACATCGATCAGTGTTCCGAGATGTTTGCAAATACAAAACTGAAAATGAGAAACGTGACAGTCTTATCAGTTTATTAATCATTGGTATGCCATCAACATCCGAGAGAGAAATAACTTGCAGTTTTTCAAATACTTTTCCTAGAGAGTCTTTTACCTTTAAATACATCTAAGTTTAATCTTCTATTATTTTTACTTTTCTTTTTAGTTTTAATTAGCGTGCAATGTGCTTTTCATCTTAATTCAATTCAAGAAATTTTCGTCCAAGCTTACCAAGTTACAGTTTTCAAGTTGATTTTCGTCTCTAACCTCATGCTTTTCTCTTAATGAATTATCTGAGAAAAGCTTCTTTAAATACCATTTAAAATTAAAATTAAAATTAAAATTAAAATTAAAATTAAGAGTCTTGTGCAATTTAAAATTCTTAAAGTAATTTTTACGTACCTACCTTATCTTATTAATGAACGCGTACTTGTTCAAGTTTTGCTTTCTCCTTGACAATTTCAATTAAATGCTATCTTTACCAGATGAATATTTCAAATTTATTGTGGAGCGCAATTTAAATAAATAAAATAAATAAAATAAATAATAATACAAGTTAACATGTAAAGCGGGTGTTGTTCCTGTCCATCAGACTGATATGAACTAATTTAGAGAAAAAGTGTATTTAATAACTAAATGAACGTACTAGAGGGACGTAAAGAAATTTTTAACCAATTTTTTATTTATAAAAATGTGTATTTCGCTTTGTTTTGTGAGAGTCTTTTAAATATAAAAAAATAAAACAATGTAATTGAAATGATTTTTCGTCACGTTTAGTCCTCTGAGAGTTATCGGACGAGCAGCCTTAATAATTAATTACTGTACTGTATGGAGCGAGCGAGCGAGCGAGCGATCGCAAAACGAGGTTTTGGACAAAATATGACAGTTAGCAAAAGAGGGATTTTGAATATTTATCCGATAATGTAAAGTATACTGAATGGCGATATTGACTGTGACTGCAATCATTACTGAGGAAGCAAATTATTTCACAGATTTCCGGGTAGTTTAAAAATGCAAATACATGAAAGACATTTGCGCAGCGCAATTAGCGAATAAAGTAGATAGTAAGTTAAATTTTGCAAAAGGCAAACAAAACTAATTTCTTCATCCATCGTTTTTACGAGTGACTTTCTTTTTTCATTGAAAAGCTTCATTGTTATTATTGAAGGGGAATCGCGAGTCAGTACATGGTCTTTACCAAATTTTCAAAATGATGAAATGGAAATACATATAGTAATGTGTCACTGCGTTGATCGCGAATAGACGAAAGTAAAAATGAAGCATATTATAATAAACCATAATTTCTGTATTCACACCAAGTACGTGGATTGCAATACGTAAATTAGAAAAGGTTAAATAAATAAAATGGCATGGAAACGCTGTCTTCTATTGATAAAGCTTTTCAAATACTTGAATTCGTAATTCCCTACTGGCGGACTAATATCATTGTCAGTTTCATTTGTCAAAAACTTTTCGTTGAAAGTGACAATGAAATGTTTTCAATTCCACTAGGAGGAGATTATCGATTCAGTATTGGAAAGTAGTTTAGATGAATTAAATAAATGTCGCTTGTCTTTAAATCAAACCACAATATAGTCAGAAAGCTTGAATCATTCTTGCAAATACGAATAACAGTTGAAATTTCCACTTTACTTGATTTTAATTTAACGTAACAATTCCCAAGTAGAAATTTCGGAATTTTCCGAATTATCAGAATTTTTCGAATTTTTCGAATTCATATAATACATTCGAGGTCATGCGAACTAGACTGGCGACATAATAGAATTTCTGCTGGGAGTGAGGTAGAAGCGAAAACATTTTAAAAACATGAAATGCTTAATCTGTTTTGTCTTTCTTCGCCCAACAATGAATATCATGTATCATTTATAACTTTTGAAACTTTTGAATAATGTTACGAAACTATTTCCGCTCTTAGAGAAAAGTGACTTTTCTTTATTGAACGGTAAATGTACCATTCTGTCGATCATTTATTAGTTCTTAGAAATTTACACATTTATCATTTGAATTAAAGTTGTAAAAGTACGTAGTAATGGAACAGAATCAAACATTGTACTACGTCTTGTGGATATTAAAAGAAATAAAAGGAAAACAAAATATATATGTTTAAGATGTATGGATTAAATAATAATAAATTAATTAAAGTCTCCCCACACCGTTTAAACGCTGCTGCAAATACAATCTAATTTAATTTATACTTTCCCTGTTTTAGTGTATTCACTTAATTATTTTTTATAGTGTTATACAAAGTGACAGGAAAATTCTATGAATTAAATCACAATAAAGAGATTACAAAAAACGTATCTTCATTCTTTTATTCAACCTTTTAGAATTAAGTCGATAATATTGTAAATAAAAATGAAGTTTCTTATTTACTATTTTCCCCTACTTTAAAGTTAGAAAAGTGTCAAAAATATTCTTAAAAGGCTACCTACTATTGTAATAACATAATTAAGTTTGCCCTGCCGGAAGAATATGGACTGAAAAAGTACTGAAATAAATAGTACCAGCCTCAGTACGCTCAGTACAATTTCAGTCCCTTTTTTTTAATATTTCGGTAGACATTTTTAAAGTCCTTTAACAGTAGTTTCAAATGTAGGTTATGTCAACAAACCATTGTTAAATTCTCGTTTAATTTTAAACTTATATTTCAACCCCTGCTTTAACAATAGACCCGAAAGCCTATTGTATATAATTTTATGGCTTAAAAAGTTTAACAATTTAAATAATTCAATTTTCAAAATAGAAAAATTTATATCTGTGATGTTTTATTATTAAAAGTATCTAAAATTCATTATGAAAAATTGTTAATTAAAAAAGTTATAAACTATCTCGCAAACTCTAATTGTTACGCAAAAACGGATATTATTTTTAAATTTAGATTCACATGAATATTTAGCATACATAATAATTACTTGTAAAGAATCTGAGTTGATGAAAAACAAATATAATGTTGAAATATAAATAAAAATTATTTTTAACATTAACAAAAAAATATTTGTCCTTCAACTTAATGACGATCAGGCCATAAACATCACCTACAGCGACCCTTTTGCAGTTAATTTTTCCCAGTACAATTTCTGTGCTGAAACGCAGAAAATCACTGAAATAGCACTGAGCTCTCAATACTAATTCCCCAGTACAATAATTTCAGTCCATTCTTCCGGCAGGGTGGTATTTAATTTTTAAAATACATTTCAACATTTTTATTTAATTGCACTTAAGCATTTATTGGTTATTATTCATACTTTCTATAAGTAATACTTATTTTCTAGAAAAGAAAATTTATAATTATGTAGTACAACTTTTTCCATATGATAGTCTGAATGTCCTAGTATGGATAAAATCGTTCTTCTAAAATATACCCAAAAAATAGCGTCTGCCTTGTATAATACAGTACTGGTGGTAATTATATTTTAGCCCTAGGGTAAAAATGAACGCCATTTTCATACAAGTCGAACAAGTGAATGACTTTTACTCTTTGTAGTCTGCTATCTGAAATCGACACTTTTGTGCATCAGGGTACAGTTCCATGTTGAACAGAAAACACAATGCAAAGCAGAATTTCGTGAGAGTGAAAAGGATAGTGATATCTGACTATCTCTCTTGCACTCACGAAATTCTGCTTTGCATTCTGTTTTCTGCTCAGCATGGGACTGCACCCTCAGGTTGAGTCCACAATCAAATAAATCGTCTGGATTTCGATGCGCAGTAAGCAAAAATGTATGTACGCGCATCGAATCGTCTTGAAAGTCGAGACGATTTTTAGCTATTCTGGACTCAGCCTTAGAAATAAAAAATATCGTAAGTATAACACGGGAATAAAGGCAGACCAATTTTTTACGATGATTTTTGTGACACGAGTGGAGGTCGAAGGCGCCCTGCCTTCGACCTCCACTCGTGTCACAAATTCTCACAAACATCACCGTAATGAAATGGCTATCTTTATTCCCTTGATGCTTAATATGTTCTTCTTCTTCTATTTTATGGCTTCGATTAATCAGGCCAATTCTGATGCTTAATAATATGTTAATATACTATTCTTCTCAAAAAAAAATGTTAAAACCGCCTTCACACCAAGCTGTAAAGGTGTTTTTACAATAGCTTGAAAATGCATTTGTTTTATCTGATTAAAAGTACCTAATTGCATATTTTGCATATAAATTTATGATAATTTGTTTTGAATTTAATGATTTAAAAGTGAATTTATATGCAGAATGTGCAATTACTTTGAACTAGACAAAACGAATGCATTTTAAGGTATTGCGGAAACACCTTTACAGCTTGAAGGGCGATTTTGATGTTTTTTTGGTTTTCTTTTCTACCGCCATTCCCATGTCAGCCTTTCAAATGGGTGACGTCACACGTTCGCGTTCAAGTTATTCTGTTCTCACCTCAATGGACGTTTTCCGTTTCACGCTGACATGGGACTGTTTTGCGTTGCGTTTTGTAACTAGGCCATGAGTGTGAGAGAGATGGAGATATATGTTCGCTATATTTGCACTCGTGGCCTAGTTACAAAACGCAAAACGCTGCCATGGGACTGCGGCCTAAGTGTGGAATGAGCATAAAGCATGCGTTGCGTTTAGTGATGGGATATCGAAAAAATTTGACATTGATATTTCACTTATCGATATTGCATCAGTAATATCGATATTTAAAAATATATCGTTATCGAAAACAAATATCGATATATCGTAAAAACGATATCGCGCATGCGCAAAACTAAAAAAAAAATTTGAATGCGTGTATTTATTATTAATAATTATTAATTTAATATTATTTATCAATAAATATAAAGAACATAAATAAATTAAAAAACTTTATTGCTAAGAAGATAAATAAATAAATTTTTAAATTATTTAAATATGTAAATAATAATAATAATAATAATAATAACAACTGAAATAAACAAAAACAAACTTTAAATTTTTTATGTAAACAAAATGGCTTTTAACACTTCAAGAATGACAGCTTTTAATAAAACTTTCTAAGCTACATGTTTTTGATGTTTTCAAAGAAACATCTAGATAACAATCATAACCTCAAAATTTACTTTACTTTTACCGCTTTTAACACATAAAATACGTGTAAAAAATGGGCTAAAATATTTGTTTACACTAAAAATAGTTTATTATATATGAGTTTACACTTATTTATTAATTAGTACTTCTAATAGTTTTTGTTTTTTTGTTGTTGATTTAATGGCTTTTTGCAAAGCAGATAGCCAAAACATAATTCAAAAATTTACCATGATATTAACATGGGGAATTTGAATATAATCGACCGGAAGTTATTATTATTATTGAGAAAAAATTATTCGAGATGAAAAGGTCTATTACAATTATTAATAATTAATAATTAATAAGGAATTAAAAAAACTCAAAGTGTGATGTGTGGTCGTTGGCCAAGAATTATCGATATTAAAAATGTTATCGATATCGGTAACGATATATCGAAACGAATATCGATGTTAAAATATCGATTATCGTGACGAAGATATCGATATCCCATGGCTAAGTTGCGTTAGCATTGGTTGTCATAGCAACCAACTCAACTCAAGGCCAACGCAGAATAGATCTGTAACTGGAACCGCAATCGTAACCGTAAGCGTAAGAATGAGTTAGAGAAGGATAAACAATATACCTATCCTTCTCTAACTTATTCTTACGGTTACGCTTACGATTGCGGTTCCGGTTACAGGTCTATTCTGCGTTGGCCTTCAACACATGCCCTTAGTAATCTATTGGAGAAAAGCCTTTATTTTACCTGTTGCAAGTCTGATTGTGTTGTGTCGGTTGTGTCCACGTTGTAACCTAAAAAAGTAGCCGGGTGATAAGTTGTGACTACAATTTTGCAATGTCAAACTCAACAGAAATATTGAATTTTATTCGTCGATCTAGTCATGAGTTCACTACATTTCAAAATTTAATTTTATTGGAAACCGACAAGGTATTATTTTTCAACTTTTCTCTTAAAATTGTTACCCCATTCATAGTTTCTATATGAATACACTTTTAATATCTCAGTCTAAGAAATATTTTTCTGTTTACTTTATAAGTTTAATGTCTTCATTCAACTACTCAGTTCGAAAAGTACTGCAATGAAGAATAATTAAAATTCGACTCTTTATTTCAATTTTTTGTATAAAAAACAAACATTTTTTTCTTTATGGATATGATTTCAAAAAATTGAAACATTTCACGATATTTTTAAAATGATTAGTAAGAAAAAACTATTTTATTTATTTTCTCTTGACGACTTGAAACTTGAAAATACGTTTTTGGAAGTGAAATAAAAATTTCAATAATAATTTATAATTTTCATGTGTTAGTACTTAGTACCTACGTCAATCGGATATTATTTTTGTTTTTACTGTATGTAAACTACGTAATTTTCAATGACGAAGGCAGTTAGCGCCATGTGATTATGTCTTCTTAAATATTCAAGTATTTTTAGAAAAGTTTTTAATTAGACCTTTGACAACCAATTATCAACACACTCGTTGCAATGGAAAATTGCACATTTTTTTTGATACTGCTGCAATCTGCGGCCGCCTTTTCATTTAACATATTCTATTATATTTCAACTTTGACATATCACTTTTTGTCCTGTATTTTTCCCTTTTTAGCAATACAACATTTTTTCCTTAATAAATGTCTCACATATATCTTTCAGGCTTCGGATATTACGACTTTTTCGACTATTTTCACAAAATGCGACTTTTTCGACTTTTCTTCCAAGTTTCGCCACAAAAACCACATTTTTGGTATAAAATTCAATTTATTTCGATTTTTTTTAGTGTAAAAAGTATAGCTATGCAATTCTTTGAAAAACTATTTTTCAATGATTTTTCTAATTAAATTTTTGAAATATACAATTAAGAAATTGTTAGATAATAATTGAAATTTTGTAAAATTTAACTGAAAATAATTAATTTTTACAAGTATTTTATTACAATTTTTAAAAATCAACTTTTGAGGAGTTTAAATTGCAAATGTTAAAAATAATTGAATTCTCAAAAATTTCATTGAAAAATCTTCAAGTGTAAACTTATAAATATGAAAATTAGTAATGAAAATTAACTTCTAAAAATTATATTAAAATATTTAAAAAAATAATAGGTACTTATAGAATTTTTCCCTTGTACTTTTTTAAAATTCAATTATTTTCAATAATTTTAATTACATATTCGCGAAAATTCAAATACCTACCTACCTACAAAAAATAACATTAAAATTTTTTAGAATTATTTTTAACACTTTGGAAAAAACAATCATGTTGAAAATTTTTTATTAAAATT